ATTAGTTAACATTTTTATTTTTGATGGTGGCGCACATAATCTTTTTTTATGGCGCGTGTTGACGCTGTGTGTATCTTCTACTCGTGTGAATTTGTCGATATTTTTAAAAACAAAAATACATAAATCAAGTATGTATATTGACGGGACGGTTAAGATTTCGTATTGTTTGAAGTATGGTTTGCAGCTTTGTGTACTATCTATTTGGGCTAGAATTCTTATACACTTCTTTTGCATTACAAATATTTCCTGTACGTTTACACTATTTCCCCATAACATGGCACCGTAGCGCAGCCACGAGTATGCATAAGCGTAGTAAGCAGCCATAGCTGTATGTGTGTCAGTGCTTTGTTTTATTTGAAAAAGAGCGTAAGTGAATTTAGATAATTTGGTTTTTATGTGTTCTATGTGTGACTTCCAATTTATGTGAGTGTCAATATTAATGCCGAGTAGGCTAAATGTATTAACTTCTTCTATTTTCATGTTATTGAATGCTATGTCTAGATTTAAGGGAGGTCTTTTGTACGATCTAAATTGCATCAATTTAGTTTTGCAACTATTTATTTCTAAATTATGGATTTGGAGCCAATTATTCACCGTTTCGAGTGTCTGCTGTATTTGCAAATTAGGGTATTTTAAATTTTCACACTTCATTAATATGGAAATATCGTCTGCAAATAATATTGGTAATGCTTCGTTTTTGTCTAGTGTTTTGGGAAGGTCATTTATATAAATTAAGAACAACGCGCATCCTAGCACACTTCCTTGTGGGATTGAGCAAGTAATTTGCTTTTCACGTGATCTAATGGCATTGATGACGTTTTTTCCGTGGTTAGCATATTCAATTTGTACTATTTGCTTCCTATTGTGTAAATATGATTTAAACCAGGAATATGCAGGTCCTCGTACGCCGCAACCATATAGTTTAGTGAGTAAGATGTCATAAAGTACCTTGTCATATGCTTTTGTCATATCGAGTAGTAGCCCAATAACATGTTGTTTGTCGTTTATGTATTGTAGTGCTTGTTGAATGTATTTATAAACTGCTAGTGTTGTTGATCTACACTTCCTAAATCCGTTCTGTGCATCGTCAAGAATATTGTACTTTTCCAAGAATTTACAAAGCTGATTACACATTGCCTTTTCAAATACCTTAGAAAATGTAGGTAGCAGTGCTATGGGTCTATAGTTGCTTGCAATATGTTTATCACCTTTTTTATGTACTGGTTTTACTAAAGCCACTTTAAGAGAGTCTGGAAACTGTCCATCTTGAAAGCTTTGATTAACCATCTTCATCAGGGGAACGGATAGTTCCATAGCACATTGTTTTAATAAAAAAGGTGGAATGTCATCGATACCACAGCTATGTTTATTCTTGGTGGATTTTATTATATTAACTATATCCCTTTGGTCTACTGGGCGCAAATACATTGAACAAGTAGGAGGGTTGATTACGGGCTTACCAATGCTTTTATTCGAATGAGGTGTTTGGTTTTGTCCTACCGTTGCAAAGAATTCATTAAAGTGGTTGGCAACAATTAGTGGATGTTTTACTTCATCATTGTCTATTTTGAGTATTATATTTTCTCGTCTATTTATTGTTGTTTTGCCTGTTTTTGTGTTAATAATTTTCCACATAGTCTTTACCTTATTGTCTGATTTTTGCATTTGTTTAATATACGTAATTTTTTTTGATTTTTTAATAGTCAATTTTAATATTTTATTATATAATTTATAATGGTCTTTTATAACACGACTTTTGGTTTCATTGAGAATCGTTCGTAACACTCTTTTATGTAAGCATGATTTTTTAAGCCCTTTTGTAAGCCAACTTTTATTTGGTTTTGATTTTATTCTTATTTTTTGCAGCGGTATGTATTTATTTAGATTATTTTTTATTATTGTGATGAATGATTCATAATTTATATGTATGTTTTTGTTGTTACTTAAGACTATTTCCCAATTTTCCGATTGTAATGATTTTTTGAAGCTTTCAACGTTACTTTTTGTGAATAATCTTTTCTCGATGTGCCAAATTTCATTATTGTTTGGCGAATATTCGCAGTTTAATTTAACATTTATTGCCTTATGATCCGATAGCCCATAGTCTTTTACAGTAGCTGTATTTATGAGCGGTGGGTAGTTAGTAAAAAGTAAATCGATGCAAGTCGATGATGTTTTAGTCACCCGTGTTGGTTCGCGAATAATTTGTTCCAAGTTATATGCTTTCATAAAATTTATGAACTCATGGGTCTGTTTATTTTTATGACCTACATTTATGTTAAAATCACCTCCTATGATTAAGTGTTTGTGTGACTTTTTAGTAGTTAGTTTATGTAAAACTTTACCCAACTGTTGATAAAATAAATCAATATGACGATCTGCCCTATAAAGTCCTATAACAGTACAATTTAGTTTAGGTACGTCAATAGCACTAAATTCTATAAAATATTCCTTTGAATGATTTACAATATCTATGCGTTCTATAAAGTCTACTGAGTCTTTTACAATAATACAGGTTCCTCCGCCTTCGCGGGTTGTACGACAAAAAATCGAGGCTATTTTATATCCCTGAGGTAATATTGATTGGCAATAGTTTTCACTTTTCCACAGCTCGGATAAGGAAATTAAATCAATTTCAGAATCGAAAAGTAATTGTTCTACTGAATCTACTTTGTTACCGATGCTTTGAATATTTTGGAAAATTAATGTAAACTTATTCAAGGGAGCGATTTTGTTCCTTGATATTTTTGTCTGTTTACGACACACTTTGATGTTGGAGAAAAAACTGTGAGTCACCCAGCTCATCAAATACCGAAGTCTTTGAATGACCTTCTTGTTCGAGTTCGGGGATGGTAGTTGTCATCGAGTTTACAGCGATTATATCTTCCATTTGTCGTTTTATATCGTCGAATATAGTGCGCATTCCATTATTATTTAGTCGTCCTGTCCAATAATTAAACATTCTATTGTCATACTTAAGATGTAGGTTTGAGTCCAGTAGGTATGCATGTAGGTGAGTCATTATATCCAGGTACAGTAAATCGGCAAAGTTTTGTACTCGCCAGTTGAACAGATTTGAACTATTATTCAATTTAAAAGTAGGTAGGCATAGGATAAGATTTGTATTTTCAATTTGTTTCAAAGTATTTCGTATGTCATAGATTAAGTTAAAGTAGTCATTTGTTACATTAAAGTCTTCCTCACCAATTAATATTATACAAAAGTCATCCTTAGTATAGTCTTTTAGCTTACTGTTTATTCCTTTGAGTAGTTGTTGGGTTCCACAGTTTGGTTGTAAGTAGTGACATATATTATAATTTCTAAACGTTGTTTTTGCAATTGATAATATTTTATTAGTTTTGTTGGTACTTATGATACAAATTTTATTTTGTTTCTTTTGACCGTCTAGCAATGTATTTACCTCTAGTTGATCTTTGCTGTTTTCATCTATATGTTTATTTATAGTTTTTTTATATTTTGAAGAGTTCTTTGGTGTATTCCGCGGACAGTTGTTCTGTTCAAGTAACTCCTGATTAATTCGTTTAAGATTGGTATTCTCTAGAGATAATGATTCTATTTTATTGTGAGCGTTATTTAATTCTGTCGTCAATAGTTCAATTTTTTTTTTTAGTTGAATAGTTATGTTGTCTTCGTCATCTGAAGAAGTGTCCGGTAAACTTATTGTGCTGCCATCTATTGGTGATTCTGCTGATGTTATACTTTCATTGTCTTTAGTTGAAGTATTTGAGCTGGACTTAGTCCGGTTGCGACGAAAGGTGATATTGTCTAAGAAATTCATTTTTGAAATCTTTTATATTCCAAAAAGTAGTCGCAGTTAGCGGGGTTCGAACCCGATCCTCGAGATTAATTCTGTACTGTTTATAACTAAGCCACTCGAACGTTACTTAAGCGTGTTGAAATTGTTTAGTGGTTTCTTCTTCGTAGTTTTATTTACTCGTACCCACGATATTATTTATGATTATAGAAATAGAAAATACTTTAATTATGTTCTTCGATAAAGATAGTAGATGTTTTAACATTATCGTAAGTCACATTTCACTTGTAAGTTTGGCTGTAATTATTGAGTGATTTTTAAAGGCGTTTTGAACAGTTTTGTTTTGATTATTTGTATCACATCACATTCACCTAAAGTGTCACCAGTTTAATTTCCGAGGCAGTTTTATTTAATCGCGTCACAATTTAATCACCGCACTGTCACTAGAGCTTTAGATGTTCAAGCACATTTCTATGTAGGATATTGTATAAACAGTCAATTATTTATATTTTTAAAATATTTTTAAACACGGACTCGAAGTGATCGTGGTAGTCCGAGCCTACCCGTTTTTTCGTATAAAATACATATATTTTGTGGTTTATGTACAGAATTTTATGGAGATGTTGTGTAGAGTTTATGGTTTAGATTTAGAATCATTATTTTAAATATAAATGGATTCGTATCTTTGGTCGTACGAGTGATACCACGGCCTCACAGAACCGACCTGAAAGAACGCTTGCGTTGTATTTCGTCGTGTGAGTGAGGTTACCGGAGGCCCAATTACCCACACCTCCTCATCCCCAATCTCCCCAATCCCTGAATCCCCAACAATCCTCAAATTCATAATCCGCAAAACGCCGGTAACGCAATAACGCAACTTAACATCAGGTGATCCATCTGCTCATTTATCGACTTGTCCCACAAAAAAAGTCTTAATTTGTTTATACCTAAAATAGGTCAGAAACAATATATATATATTAGTTGTTAGTTCAATCATAGTCAAAAGTCTAACATTTGTCATCGTACCTATTAATAAGAAATCAGGCTAAACTATACCATAAAACATGTTTTAATAAGTAGCGCCTCTGCATTAAAAAATGGGAACATTATTTTTTGAATGCGTTTAAAATAGCACACTGTACCACTGGCACAAAATACTTTTATCTATTTAAAAGTAAATAAAGCATATTTAATTATTGACTAAACATTTTATCTTCTTCTCCAGCTCAGCTCGTGTGGGCAAGACGTCGCTGGTATCCAGGTTTCTGGGCACGAAGTTTGAAGACAGTTACACCCCAACCATTGAAGACTTCCACCGTAAACTATACCGCATCAGGGGCGAGGTGTATCAACTAGACCTTCTGGATACATCTGGAAACCATCCGTTTCCAGCTATGAGGAGACTGTCTTTTCTTACTGGTAAGTATTTGTCTCATGTTGGCTAATTTTAATATATTTTTTCATTGCTAGATTATAAGGCTGACAATCGTTTGAACGAAGACCATTTGAGGCTTGTACTCTGTAAATAATGTACTAAATCATCTCTATTCCATCGTTACTAACAAAATCTTCTAGGCAGATAGATGACCTGATAAAGGTTTTAGGAAGCTGCTATATGCCAGAGGCTTCTGGATTCAGGCTACTTTCTACCAGCTGATCTGGCCTCTTGGTCATTGGGGACGCCTACGTTTAGCAATAGGTAGACACATTGTGACTGATACTGACTGATGATTAGCAAAAACTGCAAACTGCGAACATAATCCTTTGTCAGGCCGATGTACAGGCAATATTTCATACGTTTAAAATAAAAAATAGAACACTAAAAACAAATAGTGTCCACCATGCAATACAAAACAAAATGCTTTAATACCATTTGATAGATGGCGTTGTTTCATTCATTATTCTACGGAGGCTGTCCACAGGGATCCATTGAGATTACTATACGAATGTGCACAAACCTCTGCTATGTTTACTAGTGTTGGGACGAACGCTGCGGTTGCTGTAATCGATTGGAAATGTAATTTCTGGTGCATCGATTGGTTTTAGGTGATGTTTAGTGTGTGTTTGGTACTGAATGTGTTGAAGGTTCTGAACTGTAGCTAAACTGAAGTACTTACCTATTACTCTAAAGTAATTTTGACCCTGGACGTTTTTAAAATCATTATTTTATTTGAAGAGATCTCATGCGATAGTTTTTCTTCTATAAATCTGTAACTGTTATTGTGCAAAATGTTTTTATAATCCAGCATCGTCTAGAACCTAATTTACAATATGAAATTGCTGTATATACTACCGGGCGGCTTGACAATCACTCGATCGACGAGTCAGTCATACATTTATGCAGACGTAAAAAATATTTAAGTAGGTACAACATAAGCGGGTACAAAGCATTGGTTTTTCCCACTCTCCCACATCCCTAGTTCCCAGTAATAGTCACTTTGTGAACATACACAGTTTGAATGGATATCCGCACAACTTTGTGCTTGTAGTTATGAATGCAACAATGAACGCTCACGAGGGTAACTTTGCGACTTTTGTTTGACTAATTAGAGATAGGCACATAGGTATGTTGTCGTGGTGGCCTGGAGGTTTCAGACGCCCGCTTCTAATAAATGAGGGTCATGTGTCGTGTCGGAAACCTACCAACAGCAAGTACCAATGTGACTTTTTCCGAGTCATATGTACTTTCTAAGATTATCTAAACACCACTGATAAACGGTGAAGGAAAAATATCGTGAGGAAACCTGGGCTTATAATTTCTAATTATATGTTTTTATTCGCCAACCTGCATTGAGCAAGCGTGGTGATTAATGCTCAAATCTTTTTCGTGTGCGAAGGGGCTTTGTGCAGCAGTGAGCTTTTATATAGGCTGTTGTTATTGATGATGATGATGACATAGGTATAGTATTTAGACTGGGTACGGAAGAAAAGTGCAATATAAATTATCAGTTTGAGCTGATTGAAAACTGACACATGCGTGCTGCCATCAGAACTAGTTTGCTCAAACTGTTGTGGTTCTTTCCTCAAAATGCCACTATAGAATCAACTTGCACGGTTCTCGCACATTATTCTATGTTAGTCTGGATTTTAAAAGATACTATGACCTTTGTAAGAATTTGTTACGGCATTCCTTCTCAGAGTAAGAGAGAAAGAGAGAAAAACTTTAATTACGTCACGATACACACGTAGACAATAATAAAGGTAATACACAATGAGAAGCCCATGATGCATCGCAGCGCAAAAGGATGTAGCTCGTGTGTGGCCCGTACACCAAGGGTCTGAACCACGGCACTAATTTTCAGCACCAAGAGTAGGATAAGAAATGCCAGAAAAAATATATAAATCTTTGTAATAAATTTCGAATATCGGGGTATGTGACATACCTAGATAATTGCAAAAAGAGAAAAGACCGTATTCCTTTTTTAAAAGGCTGGCAATGCATCTGTGACTCCTCTGGTGTTGCGGCTGTCCATGGGCGGCGCTAATCGCTTACCATCAGGTGATCAGTCTCCTCGTTTACCTGCTATTTCATAAAAAAAAACTTCATATAATAACGCAAGCCTTAATTAAAACAGTTTTAATACAAAAGAAACATAATTAAGCAACATACCTACATGCGAATATAAAGTTCTTTCCATTTCTCATTCAAAAGTGAAATAATTTACCGCCCGGTCCTGACATGTTCACATATCATGGAATTAAACACTTTTAAAGGTAAACCGGGGCAATAAATACAGAAGTTCAAATCGTTACATGTCTCGAAGATTAATAAAATCACAGAAAATAATTTGTTACCTAGAAATTGTAAAGAAATTGCTTAGTGGTCACGTTTATGGTATTTAAGTCAACTGGATTAATAATAATATTTTTTTTCTCGCTTTATGAGAGGGAGGTTAAATATACAACAATTTGGTCCAAGTAAATAACTAAACAGATTTACTTTCATATTTTGTCTTTTGTTTATAATAAATGCTTTGATTTTCACTTCCTATTTCATTTGGAATCTCTTGTTAGGAAGTAGCTCTAGTTAAAATTAAAACCAACTGCAAACCCAATGGTTCGAAATTTAAACAATTAAAACAATAAATAACTAAACGCTGTTCAAAAATAGAATTCCATTAAAAAGTATCGCTGCACTTTTAGTCCTGGCCTTATATAAATTTAAATTGAACTTTTGTTCGTAATTTAAACGGGTGTGACGTGGCGGGAAAAACAAAAGTTGGCACGTGCGAGCTACCAATGTGTTGTTCGTTATTTATCAAAACTTTTATAACTGGCGTTTGAACGATGTAAAACAAAACGCAGTCGACTTTTTCCTATGTAATTTTGTTCACTGCTACAGTTTCCGCGAACGTGTAGTTAATAAGGAAATTCGATCGATATTGCTTTTGAAATAGAGCTGCAACTTAAATAACTTTGAATCGTTCTTTAGTGTTTTGTTAACAAAAGTGTATTCTGCACAGTTCGGTAGTCAACGAACGAACTATTGTTTATCTCATTTTTGCTACAAATGTATTTTTCACCAGAACATCTCTTAAACTCTCAGAATCTAGATTCAGCAAAGCGCACAATAAAAAGGTGTAAAAATAAACTATTAAGTACTGGTCATTCTTCCTTATGTTGTGAAGGACGCATTCCGCCATTCCCTCTCACAATAAAGCCGTGGAGTCAAGTGCAGATAAACGAGAACCGCTTTTGTTCACCTCACCTTTAACTCTTAAGGGGGTCACAGACGAACATTAGAAAACGCAGCGAGAATTGTACGCGACGCTTTGTTGGAAGGTACAATCAGATGTCACATGTTAAACCGCGTGTGTCAGGTTAGGGAAAACTATTTTAGTGGAAATAGTTATGAAATGTAATAACTATTTGAGGAATTTCAGAGTTTAGGGATTGTAATGAGAATAGAGGAGCATATTTGAGTTATATTTTAGTACGTTTAATATTGTTTCTCGAAGGTTTATAAGTTTCTGTTTACTAATAAAATAAACTGTTTGATATTCATATCATTGGTGGTATGTTTAAAACATTTTGTAATCAACATATATTATAAGCTTTTAAGTGTAATATTTTTAAACATATTTCCTGCCGAAAATTACTTCTTTTTTAACAGGGGCAAATCATCGAATTGCTTCTCCTGCCTATGTGAGGCGAGAGAGAGTGTCAGACTCTTACTGACTAAAAACCACCCCATTCCTACTCCTGCCCTTCGAGCTGGAGCCCCGGCAACCCGTTAAGTCCTCCGCGGCTCCGTATCGGCATCAGCCCTATTGGGCCGCATCCGTGGTGGTCTGATGGCTCTTTGAGGCGCGCGCGAAACGCGACGCGGCGTACGCTCGATTCTGCTGGTCGGGCGGCGAGCCACCCATGCTGGCCGTCCACAGGCCCGCGCTTACGGTGGCCGGAGAGAAAATTACTACTAGACATCATTTTTCACATTACGCTACGCACAGTCAACTCTGTACGTCTGAAACATCCCTAACGGGTCAGTCCCATACGAATGGTTAATAGCAAGTTTATGAGTTAAACTTTATTCGTGACGGCTAATGTACACCGGGGTTTAGTGTCACAGACCTAATTGAAGGAATAAAACTTGAAATGTACGGCGTTTAGGCTTTGTGTTGGTGTAAATGGGAGAAGAACGGCGCCATTGTTCAAGGAAATATGTTATTGACGACATACCTTTGAAAATAGGGCCGTGAGATCGATTTAGATGAGCTTCTGAACTATGTCTTAAGTCTAGGTAGCTAAGAACTGTGTTGTAGTATAAAGCTAGTACCAAACCAAGTAGGTATACTTGTATCTTTGCTTATCAATGCATTTGTTATGACTTTCACTTTACATGTTTTATTTCATCATGTTTATCTTTATATCAAAGTACATACACATACGTAAACATTAGTTTGCTTATTTTGACTTCCTGATATTATTTTTGAAGAGTGGGAGAGCCATATAACGGCACGAATGAGACGATTCGACCGCAGTGGCACCATGGCCTAACAGAAAACCGACGTGAAACAACACTTACGTTGTGTTCTGTCGTATGAGGGAGGTTACCGGTGGCCTAATCTCCCCAATCCTGAATCCCAAGAAACCTCAAATTTCTAATTCTTAAAAGGCGGTTAATGGATTTGTAACGCCTCTGGTGTTCCAGATGTCCATGGGTGATCCGTGTGCTCGTTTGCCGGCTTATCCCATAAAGGAAAATTGCATTTTTATATTTATTTGAAATTTGGTCAGTCACTCAACAAATATTTGTACACAACTTTATAAAGAGACATAGGTTTTACCAACAACATAATAATGTAGAACTTAATGAAAACCTAGATTTTAAACCAATCTGCGATCGGAGGTGGCATATGTGCGCGTATCAGATCCGGTAGGAAATCGATGTCGCGAACCATGCAACCTAAATTGAA